GGAGTGCTGGAGGTAGACAGCAGCTTTATTATTCATAGTCGTCTTGTAACTGAGTGCTAATTTTTTTATGGTAGTATACACTAAACTCGCGGTGTTATATTTCTATAGCTTAAAATTATCTATCACCATTTTATCCATGATATACAGTTTTAAGTCTTTTCTAAATTTATTTATACTTTCTTTGATCAACATACGTCAACAAGCAAGAGATGTAAGAAATACAAACAACCCAAGAAATGCAACAAATATAAACTATACGACGTAAGTGGAGATAGACATGTACAAGGACAAACGGTGTTTTACAAATAATTTTTGTTCTACCGAAACAGAAAACATTATTTCGCGAACAAAATTTAACAGAAATAAAATAACAACAACAGTTTCTAAAAAGCTGTTTTTACAAACTGGAACAAAAAGATCTTTATAACTGAGTGTCATTGTTTTTGATGTTGGATCAGAAAAAACGTGACCAAATTTATATCGAAATAAGATGAACGAAGAAGCGACAACAACAATACACACACATCGACTCACATTTACAACTGGTTAACAAGAAAATGTTCAAGGATAAAATTAATTGAATGTTTGTTACAAAAAATTATAGTCCTCCACGTCCTCCCCGTCCACCACTACCGCCACGTCCTTGACCTCCTCTACCACCTCTGAAAAGAAAAAAAAATTGTTAATATGTAATCAACAAAGAATTGTTTGATATTAAACATAAAATCTGAATCTTGCAAAGAACAATCCGTGTTCATCAATCGCTTTCGAGAAGTTTCACTGAAACTGATGACTGTTGAGTGGTCTAATTTGAGCCTATCTAGCCAAATAAATCCGAGTATTTTTACCTATTTCCACCTCCATATGGTCCACCGCCTAAAAAACGAAGGATTACTGTCAACATGTTAAATTCAAAAATTTATAGTGGAGATTAACTTACCTCCTCTTGGCCCTCCTCGTCCTCTCATTGGTCCACCGCCTTGACCTTGTCCATATCCTTGCCCAAAACCACCCTGTTGTGGGGGACCGCCAAAATTATTGCCTCCTTGTGGTCCAAATGCACCAAATCCATCATTACCCATATTCGATCCTAGAAAGAAAAACCAACAATTAGCGTCCTGAGATAAAGACAAAACAAATATATTACCACCGAAGTTCGTAAAGCCACCTCCACCACCCATATTTCCTCCATAATTTCCTTGATTATCACCGCCCATATTTCCACGATTTGGACCTTGATTTCCACCCATATTTCCTCGTCTATTTCCACCGTAGCCTCCACCACCGCGTGGATTATTTCTGCCTGATTGATCTTTTGGTAATGCCTTTTGTACATCTAATGGCCTTCCGCAAATAACATGATGTTTTTCCAAAACGATTTTATCAACAGGATCCTTCAATGAGGAAAAAACTCTTTTAATAATAATCTCGCTAGTTTTAACAGATGCTTACGTAATCATCGAATTCCACAAAACCAAAACCACGATGTTTGCCTAAAATAAAATTAGAAAATCGTAGTATCAGTAAACTAATGTCACTTCTCTATGCTTACCATCTTTGTCTTTCATCACCACACAATCGACGATATTTCCATATTTTGAAAAGTAATCTTTTAAATCTTGTTCTTGCAATGGTTCACGTACACCCCCTAAATACAATTTTTTTGCTGTCGTTTGCATTTCGGGTTTTGAACTTTCTTCTCGTGGTACAGCTCGTTTTGGTTCAATCTCACGATTATCTAACACATGTGGCCGATGACGCATTAAATTATCGACCATCGATGATTGGGAGTACGTAACAAAGCCAAATCCTGTAGAAGAAAGAAGTACATGTTGTTCTGGTTTGAGCAATATTTGAATGAAATACGACTAACAGATTAGTGGAGATGGTACAGAACAGAAAAGTAAGAAACAACTTACCACGACTACGACCATCACGGTCACGCATAATTATACAATCTAATACATCACCAAATTTAGTAAAATAGTCTCTGAATGCCGAATCTTCCATACGATATGATAAACTACCAATAAACACTTTACGAAATTGTTCGGGTTCTAAATCATTAACATTAATATTTGACGAGTTCATCTGATTCAAATCTAATTGCTTTAGTTCCGTTGACATTTGTTGTGCATTAACTGGATTAGTATTGTTCGCGTTGTTATTAGTATTATTAATTGAACTATTTTCAGCAAAGCCATTATTTTGAGGCTGCTGTTGTAAATTAGACATTATTGAACCTCCATTTGACGCAGGCTGTTGTTGTAATTGAGAACTAACTACTGTATCAGCCATTCAACTTGATAATAATAATAATAATAGATTTGTTAACACAAAAACCAAAATCGAATGAAACAAAATTTAATTATAAAACAATGATGGTACGCTATGTAGACAATCGTTCTGTGCAAGAGAGATTATGTCTACAATATATATAAAAAAAAGGTGATAGATAATTTTAAGCTATAGAAATATAACACCGCGAGTTTAGTGTATACTACCATAAAAAAATTAGCACTCAGTTACAAGACGACTATGAATAATAAAGCTGCTGTCTACCTCCAGCACTCC